GAGAGTCTCAACCCCAGTGACTCCACTGTGCTCAGTCTCTGGGCACGAGAGTCTCAACCCCAGTGACTCCACTGTTCTCAGTCTCTGGGCATGAGAGTCTCAACCACAGGGATTTCAGTGTATCCAGTTCCCAGTTACTCCTGGTCTTTTACTCCTCACCACTCAGTAATTCATGACAAAATTCAAAAGCTGGTAAGCATTTTCAGTACAAATTGGGGTTTTGTTCATCACAGTTGTCTCTCTGGTAGCATCTTTCTCTTCTACAGGGAGAGGTGTGCGAAGTGATGAATATTTTATTACTGTTTTATTAATCACCGTTGGATTCCCTTCAAAGGCGGATGTTTAATTGTGATGGGGATTTTCAAAGGCGCTGTAGCTCAAGGAGAACTAGAACAATAAACTTCAGTGATTATTCAGCTCAGTCAATATGAATTACGAAGGGGTGGTGTATTGATTGCTTACCTGAGTCACACACAACATACTGAGACAGTAGCACTTTGCTTTGGCGCAGTTTCAGTTTAACTCCCCCCACCACGGTCACCCCCCCAGAAAAAGACATATTTGAGGTTTATTCACTATTTGCCTTCAAGCGAATCAGAAGGAGAAATGAAGGACTTTGAAATTCTAAGAGAGACGCCCAGGTTCAGGTGTTGTCAGTTGTGTGGAGACTCAAGTATGAGCCAAGTCAAGAGGAGGAGACAGAACCAGGAAGCGCCTCTGGCACGGCCTGATAGCAACAGACCTCAGCCAGGAGACACTGTTAGCACACTGTCAATTTCTGCAGTAGGAATTCCACACTCCTGAAAAAACCCCAGTCTAAACTCGAAACAGCGCTGTGGAAATGTCACAGGCATGATCGCTAGCACATCAACCCTGCATGCTTTCGGGTCACAGCGGCTCTGTGGATCCACGCATGCTGCAGCCACAAGCAATCGAGACGGGGCTCCTGGTGTGGGCGAGTGAAGACACTGTGAGGCCACAGGCTGGACCTCATGCTGGAGGAAGATGGGGCTTTGTACCAGCAGCTGCATCCGCTGCAGGCGATGGTGTGCCACCAGGTGAGGGAGCTCAGCTCAGTCTCCACCCTTTGGAGATTTGTGACAGAGTGCTTGTTATTTTTTTCTTTCTGAATGTGAAATACTCCAGTACTTCCCTCTACCCTTCTGGTATGTTTGAGAGAGTGTATGTGATACGAATGAAGTGTGAATGATACTTACCCTTTTGTTGTTCCCCTAAAATCACTGCAGTGTTCCCCGTTGGAGTATTGTGTTGTGTTGGACAACATGGCCACCAGTATCCTTCTGTTTGTAGTTTGTAGTTCCCCACACTGCCACATCAGCAGTACTAAAAACACTGCTGATCTTAAAGGGAAAGGTTTCTAGTAGGCCATCTATAAATAACTAATGTATGATTATTTGTTTGATTTAAAGGTATAAAAGCTGTTGCATGACTTTGTTAAACTTTACAGGTTACTCTGGATTTGCACTAAGTACTTTATTTGTTTAAAAATTGTCCACCAGAGATGGGCAAGTCCCTTTAAGAGAGAAGGGCCCTGGGATAGGAGGGGCTATAAAAGGGACTGGGAGAGCTCAGTATGGAGGAGAGTGCCTTGGAGGAAAGGTGGGGAGAGAACTCCTGTGAAGGGTTTTTTTTTTTTTTTTGGTAACCCCAATTTTTTTGGGGGGGGCAATAAATCCAGTTTTGTTTGCATTTGAAAACTGCTTTGTGGGAGTTTCTTTTCTTCTGAGCCAAGCCTGGTCACTTGGCCGGTGACAAGATTCCAGAGCATGACGCTTCTCGTCAGCTGGTGCTGACACTTTCCTCCACCCCCTGATGGAGGGGCTGAGAACACACAGTATCGAAACAGGTTGCTTTTGTGTGGAAAACTTTTTGCCCCGGTTTTGCTTTTTTGTTAGGAGGGTTTAAACGTAAGAAACAAAAGTATCTGCAAGATTGAGTTAAGAACACGGAACACTGCCCAAAGTAAAAGCAACTGTTTGCAAATGGAGATTTTACAGAAACAAAAAACACTATTAAAATATACTGTACCTTACAACAACAGAAATATAATGATAAAACAGGCATTTTACATGTATCCTAAGGTAGAAATGTCTCTATTTATGCTGACAGTTTTTTGTCTGCTCACACATGGCCCTGTGCCAGTATATCTGTTACCCCTAGCAGTGACCCTGGGTTCTATTACCACAAAGATGAATCCAGTCCAGAGCTAGCTTGTTTCTTTAGATTTACCACCTGCTAAATACTATATTTAAGTCCTAATGATCTCTCACGTAGAAGCCAGGTGAAATACTGGAAAGAACAGTCACCATAAATCCTAGGCCTCCAGAAAACAAGATCTTCCTGTCTGAGAGAGTTCATCTTTAGAGAGCTACTTTGTCATTAATGCATTGCCAGCTGGAGATGTAAATGCCAGAGTCTCAGCCGCTGAAGGTTCAAGGAGACATGTTCTACCGTGTGTCTCACATAACTCAAGCGAAAGATCTTTTTCATGGGCGCATTCAGGTAGAACACATTACTGGAGCTGGAGACTGACAAGAATATCTTTTGACCTAATGGAGCAAAATTTTAAACAAGAAGTTGAGTTAACTGAGCAAACTTCTTTAAATAGCATGAAGGAGTCAAGGCGTCACAGAAATGCCTAAGGACAAATAACGTTACTGTAGTCACATTACTGTCAACTGTCAATCAAAGTTTAACTGCAGTATATAGCAGAGGTTGCTGAAATGAACCACAAGCCACATGCAACACTTGGTGACAGAAAACAATCCCCAATGGACTCCCAAAACTAAGCCTAGCATTAGAAAACAGATCATCCAACTTAAAAATACACACACTAAGGATACTCATGGTTTGAACCCTAGTTCAGGGCCAGGAAAGCAGCCCACCCTATTCAGACTGCCTAGTTTAAGTGCTAACTATGGGAGCTCTTTTCACTGGCTGCTCAGTACAGCGGGCAATGTATTTTTACAGAAAGAGGTCAGGCCCACACAGTCTGCTGAACCCCTGCACAGTGAGTCTAAACTGGGTGGCTCATTATACTTTGAAGGACAAGTACTGTATGCTTCAACAAGAACAGAACCCTTCCAAGTACACGGATTTAGAAAAAATAATAATAAACTTTATTTTATATAGTGCCTTTAAAGGTGACTTCTCAAAGCGCTTTTTAGAGAATGACAAAAAAAAAACATAAGATATGCACGATGAGAATACACAGTGAGAGGAGACAGTAGATGAGGGTACTGAATACAGTAGGAGTATAAAGAAGAAGGTTTTCTAAAGAAGAAGGTTTTGAGTCTGGATTTGAAGGAGTTTAGAGAAGGTGACTCTCATGATATCCTTGGGCAGAGAGTTCCAGAGCTTAGGGGCATAATAGGAGAAGGCCCTGTCACCCACAGAGTGTAGACGGGCTTGGGGGACAGACAGGAGACCAGAATTAGAAGAGCGAAGGTTGCGAGGTGGGGAGTAGGGCGATAGTAACTCAGACAGGTACTGAGGTGCCAAGCCATGCAGAGCCTTATAGGTGATCATGAGGATTCAGAAGTCGACACAAACCCTGACAGGAAGCCAGTGCAAGGACTCCAGGACAGGAGTAATGTGATCACTTGCACTAGACCTGGTCAGGATTCTGGCTGCTGAATTTTGGAAATATGATACAGTAGATGCTGGAAGCACACGACACTGATGAACAGCAACGGGAAGGATCTCCCTCCCCAGTCCTTCACACCCAGGTTGCTTCTGCATGTCCTTCCTGCCTCGCGGAGGCGCAGGGAAAAGACCGAAATGCCACCTCGAGCCACTGGCGGGGGCTCCACCCTCTGCGCTGCCAGGCTCCTCAAGCGCCCATCAAGCAATCCTCTCCCAGGAGAACGTGGAAGGAGGACGTCTGCACAGCGAATTCCCTCTTCTCTGGCTGGGGGAGGAGCCCCCGGGGACTGGCGAGCAGGAGGACCGACCCGTCTCAGGGAGCACAAGAACGGGAAATGAAAGGAGCGTGAAGGGAGTCCTAGAGACAGACAGGCTCGCACCCTGAGCTCCCCCAGTGACCCTGGGGGGGGGATTCAGAACTCGCTGGGCTGTCTCACGTGTGCAGGTCTCCACACTCGCAGAGCTGGCGCTCACAGGGGGAGGAGGAGGGGTGCTTCCTGTGAAAGTGCTCCTCTGAGAAACCAGTCTTCCTTGTGTGACGGTGCAGGGAAGCAACTCATCGCTTCCTTACCAGAACAAGGCTTACAAGAGCTTTTCAGGAACATCGACGCCAACCATAGCGTTTTTCGAACTGCCATATTTTACATTATTGAAGCAAACCTCTAGCATCTTAAACACTCGACCTCAAAAATACAGCAAAAAGTTTCTACATAGCAAAAATCTTCAATAAGTCGTAACTAAGGCACGGCAGCCAGACACTAAAACAAAACGTTTTTTTATCCCATGCCGGTATTTAAGTATTGATATTATTTTTATCTACATTCATTAGTAATGTCAGTAAAGCACATTCTGTGAACTTACTCACTCTACTCCATCGAGAAACACAGTGACAAACGTGTATTTTAAATAAACAGTACAAATTGTACATTTCGCAACAGCAATCATAAACATCGCTGCTTCACTTACAGCTGAAGATAGCTCGCACAGCTCTGTAGAAAAAGGCATAATTTCTCAAATCTATAACACTGCCCAAGTTACTGCTGGCCCGCAAGCTTTAGACTCCTATTTAGAAGTACCCCACGTATTTTTTCAAAGAAAACAAGCCTGTTTCTCTCACCCTCGCTTCAGCAGGAGTGATGAAGGCCACTGGCCTAGCCGTGATTTGAGAAGGTCCACTCACCGGTCTTGGAAGACGACAGTCTGCAGATGTCTAAAGAGCAGGGCTTCCTGGTGACCGCAGTCGCCACGAACTCGAAGGGGTTGTCCTCCTCCTCGGGAGAGAAGACGTCCAGCGAGGGAGACGGCACGATCTCTACTGCCTGGTTGTCCTGGAAAACAACACAGGAAGACCTGTCATGCACTCTGGAGATGATTACACAGAACCCTGGGCCGGGGAGAGAACGCGAGGCCGACAATACGCAGAACGGCAGTGTTGACACAGCGCTTCCTGTCTGCTTTGGGAAGGGACTATTGTTAATGAAACAATTCCGGAGAACACAGTTGTTTAAATCCTGTGAGCTCTCA